TTTGTTTATTTTGGGCTTGCAGCCAACGAGAGTCTGGACTGATTAAAAGTATTCTTATTTACGTTTGCTTGTGGCTTTCGTTTCTGCACGGAGAAGGGGGGGGTCAGAACAATAACCTATGTTTAATACCCTTTTTACTATGACATTTGTCGGCCTCTTATAAATCCACACTGGTCATTTTTAATATAATTCTCTATAAATATATTCAATCTATTTGCCGATATTGCTGTAAAAATCTCAGCATCCTGATTAATAAGTGATATTGGTCTATATGATCCTGGGTTTGTATGATCTTTACCTGGTTTTGCTATCAGCATTATTAAGGATTGCTTCCAGGAACATGGAATATTTTCCCCTTCCATTATTTTATTGAACATTATCTTCATCTTCGGCACCAATAGCCCTTTAAAATGTTTATAATATTCTACGCCTAATCCTTCTAACCCTGGTGCCTTACCTATTTATAATTTATTAATAACTTCCACTATTTCCTTTTCTTCTATTTGTGAGTCCATTATTTCTTTATCATATTCTTGAATTTTACATTTTAAATTATTTTCTATAAATGCCTGACTTTCATTCACATTTATGTCATTTCCCTTATATAGCTTTTCAAAACTTCTGAAATATCAACAATTTTTCTCTCATCATATTACGTCTTTCCCCCTTGTCATGCTTTATTACTCCAATCAGGCTTTTTGCCACTATATTAAAAAATACTAACATTAAAATATAATTAAAAAGTATTGACATTAAAAGTGGATAATAACATAATGGTCAGGCTTTTTGCCTTTTTAGCTTGTGTGGCTCTCGCCAGCATTCTAGAATTTGTATTACTGTTTTCATAAAATTCCCTATTTAAGTATATTAGATTTCTTTGCATCTGTTCTATCCAGTGGTGGGTTTCAAAAAAATTTGGAATCTACTCTGTGGGTGTGGACTCCTTTGTGGGAGTGGCTTGCCGCCCATGTGACCGGGTAGGAGTGGCCAAGACGATGTCACTGAATTCTTTGCCCCAATGGATGAACTACAATAACATTAAAATAAGTACAAGAACAATAAAAGNCTTTAATTGATTAGCTACCCAATAATTTCTAATATTTGGAAGACCCAGCCCATCCTTTTTTAATGGTTCATACCATAATGCTTTACTTATTCTTCCTCTCTTGCCTCCATTACAATACACCTCCAGCAACCTCTGTATTTGCTTTAATTCTTGATCTGAAAATTTAATTGTGATCATCCAAAACAAAAAAATATTTTTTGGTAAAACTTTCATTTTTATCATTGCAATTCTTCCAAACCATGATAATTTTACTTTCTCATATTTATCTATTTTATCTTTTATATCTTTCTTTAACTTTTCATAATTTATTTTCTTTAATAAAGATAGTATTTAATACTATCTACTATTTTTAATTTATATTTTCCTTTCAAAACCTCCACTTCTACTTTATTATGGTTATAAAACATCATTTCTGATTTTTCCCAGTTTATTTGTAGTCCACTATATTTCCCAAATTCATTCAGGTGTAAATATATCCTCTCTATAATAACTACGGGATTTTGAAATGTTAATAATGTATCATCTGCAAATAAATTTATTTTAGTTTTCTTCTGTACACCAATTCCTTCAATCAATGAATCTTCCCTAATTGCATTCGCCAAAACCTCCATCAATAATGCAAATAAAACTGGGGATAAAGGGCAACCCTGTCTCATACCCCAACTTAAGGTTATCGTCTCTGTAACACCATCATTTATGGCTGTACTCGCTTTATTCTCTGAATATAGCTGATTTATCACTTCTCTAAATTTTTTACCAAAACCTAACTTCTCTGTTAATTTCTTCAATGTAGGCCATTCCACACAATCAAAGGCCTTAAATACATCTAATGCTAATACACCTGCCTTTAATTTTTGATTCTTTATATAATAACCTGTTGTGGCCCGGCAGGAGCCGTTGGAGCTGCCACCAGACTCCGACAGCGAGGGGTCTTATGAGTCGGCCCTGNCCTGCCTAGGCAGGGGGTTGGACTAGAGGACCTCCAAGGTCTATTCCAACTCTGCTATTGTATTGTACTGTATTTACTGCATAGAGAACAGTTATAGGGCTTCTCTCCTCTGTGGGTCCTTTCATGAACCACAAGGGAGCTGATCTAACTAAATATTTTCCCACATTCAGACAATTTATATGGTTTTCCTCCAGAGTGGATCCTCTTATGCATAATATGATTTACTATGTGTGCTTTTCCCCCAACAGGCACACCTATGGAGCTTTTCCACCCCTGAGGTTCTTGAAGATGTCAAAAATACGTGTTGCATAGACCTTTGATTCAAGCTACTGTTTTCCTCCTCACAGGACAAGGCCTGCATTACTGTCTACCTTTTGTGGCTATCCAATTGTCTTTTTCCTCCCCACTGACTCCCAGATATTTCCTTCTTTTTCTAAATTGAAAAAATAACCTTCTTTGACCTTTTAATGTACTCTGTTGTTCAGTTCTGCATACTCTACTTTTTCCAGTTTGAAATCTCTTCTGGATTTTCTCCCCTTTTTCTCCCACCAGCTGGGGAAAGAGAAGAATTGTGTCCTTTCCTGAAGGCTCAATTTGCTTTTATTTTCAAAGTTGCTGGTTATTCTCAGTTGTCTGGAGTGCTCTTATTGGTATCCTCTTCATCTGTAAGATTTAAATAAAAGTGTAGGTTTAAAATTGTTTCTTTATGAAATGGTTGCAGAAGATGTGAAAAAGTATACACTACAAGTAAAAAGCAAGCATGCAACAATGCTGAAATAGCTTCTAATGTTAATTATGATTCATTTGACACACTGAAAGATTACTGAGATCCAAGTTCAAATATACATTCAACCACAAAATACACTTGTTGATTTGGGTCCATCACAAATTCTTTATACTGCAATTATCAGATAGAACCTCTCTAGTTTAAATAAATGTTTTACTAAAAATGCTATTTCTCTTTCATACTTTAAATGTTATAACTGAAACTCAATTTAAACTATGGCAGATGGACTCTCCAAAATAAGAGCTTCCTTGAGCTTGACAGGCATGAATAAATTTTTTGATGGCACAGCTCTTTAGGGTATGATAAAGTTAAAGCAAATGTTGATTTTAAACATAACTTTGTTAGAAATGCCTTCCTCTTTGGGTGTCTCGCAGGAAGTTTTTAAGAAAAGAAATGGTGGTGAGGCCAGACTGGTGGGCTTATAGTCAAATATGGTTGAATTATTGTGACCCTCTCCTCAAATCTAAAGAGGAGTTGGAATCAGAAGGATGTTTCCAATTGATTAATATATTTACCATTGAAAGATTTGAACTAGACAAAAAGAGCTATGGATACGATTTTGTGAAAAATGAAATTGGAAATGAATAGTTGAACGTATAACGTCTAAGGTTTATAAACTGCTNAGGGTAGAATTCTGACTGAACCCTTTCCCACAATCAGGACATTGAAAGGGTTTTTCTCCTGTGTGAGCCTTCTGATGGTTAACCAGCTCATAATTCTGACTTTCCCTACAATCAGGATATTCAAAGGGTTTCTCTCCTGTGTGAGTCCTCTGGTGTTTAACCAAACTGGAATTCAAACTGAAACATTTGCCACAATCAGAACATTCAAAGGGTTTCTCTCCTGTGTGAATCCTCTGATGAATCACCAGGCTTGATTTCTGACTGAAATTTTTCAAACAATGAGGACATTTAAAGGGTTTCTCTCCTGTGTGAGTCCTTTGGTGTGTTGCCAGGTTGGAATACTCACTGAATCTTCTGTAACAATGAAGACATTCAAAAGGTTTCTCTCCTGTGTGGGTCCTCTGATGGCTTATCAAGTTAGAATTATGACTGAAACTTTTCCCACAATCAGGACATTCAAAGGGTTTTTCTCTTGTGTGAGTCCTCTGATGGTTCACCAGCTCAGAATTCTGACTGAAACTTTTTCCACAATCAGGACATTCAAAGGGTTTCACCCCTGTGTGAATCCTCTGGTGTACTACCAAGCTGGACCTTTGACTGAAACATTTCCCACAATCAGGACATTCAAAGGGTTTCTCTCCTGTGTGTGTTCTCTGGTGTTTAACCAAATGGGAATTCAAACTGAAATGTTTGCCACAATCAGAACATTCAAAGGGTTTCTCTCCTGTGTGAGTCCTCTGATGAATCACAAGGCTTGAATTCTGACTGAAACATTTTCCACAATCAAGACATTCAAAGGGTTTCTCTCCTGTGTGAGTCCTCTGGTGTTTCACCAGGTTGGAATTCTGACTGAAACTTCTGCCACAATGAAGACATTCAAAGGGTTTCTCTCCTGTGTGAGCCCTCTGATGGTTTACTAGGTTAGAATTCTCACTGAAACTTTTCCCACAATTAGGGCACTCAAAGGGTTTCTCTCCTGTGTGAGTCCTCTGATGTTTAACCAAATGGGAATTCCAACTAAAACGTTTGCCACAATCAGAACATTCAAAGGGTTTCTCTCCTGTGTGAGTCATTTTGTGTGTCACCAGGCTTGAATTCCGACTGAAATGTTTACCACAATCAGGACATTCAAAGGTTTTCTCTCCTGTGTGAGTCCTCTGGTGTATCACCAACTGGGAATTTGCAATGAAAGTTTTTCCACAATCAGGACAGTTATATGGTTTCTTTCCTGTCTGCATCCTCTAGTGACCACCAAAATGGAATTTTTACTGATAGTTTTCCAACAATCAGCACATTCAAAGGGTCTTCTCCTTGTGTGAGTCCTCTGATGTATCACCAAGTTGCCATGCTTGCAAAAGCATTTACCCTCCACCAGGGTAGAACAAGAAGCAATGGGTGGAAACTAATCAAGGAGAGAAGCAACTTAGAACTGAGGAGAAATTTCCTGACAGNTGGGTACTTAGACTTTATTGAACTAACATATTTTTCTATCTACCTACAAGTCTAATCCTGATATGTATTTGACTAAAAAGCATCAGGCGAGAATTTAAAAAATACATTCAAGATCTACATTGCTAATGGGAGTCCAGAAATGAAATTCAAGCCTTTTCTAAACTCATCAACTTTTGACTCAAGTGGATTTCCTTGTGGGCAATAAGGGACGATTTATGCCTGAAGCATTGGTCACAGAGAGGACATTTGAAAAGTTTCTCCCCTGTGTGAGTCGTCTGGTGTCTTCATGAGGTGGACATTTTTAATGAAACTTTTCCCACAATCAGGATATTCAAAGGGTTTCTCTCCTGTGTGAGTCCTCTGGTGTTTCACCAGGTTGGAATTCTGACTAAAGCGTTTCCCACAAACAAGACATTCAAAGGGTTTCTCTCCCGTGTGAGTCCTCTGGTGTACCAACAGGCTGCAGTAATGACTGAAACTTTTCCCACAAATAGGACATTTGAAAAGTTTCTCTCCTGTGTGAGTCATCTGGTGTCTCGCGAGGTGGACATTTTTAATGAAACTTTTTCCTCAATCAGGACATTCAAATGGCTTCTCTCCTGTGTGAGTCCTCTGGTGTTTCACCAGGTTGCAATTCTGACTAAAACATTTCCCACAAACAAGACATTCAAAGGGTTTCTCTCCTGTGTGAGTCCTCTGGTGTCTCGCGAGGTGGACTTTTTTAATGAAACTTTTCCCACAATCGGGACATTCAAAGGGTTTCTCTCCTGTGTGAGTCCTCTGGTGTCTTACCAGGTTGCAATTCTGACTAAAACATTTCCCACAAACAAGACATTCAAAGGGTTTCTCTCCTGTGTGAGTCCTCTGGTGTATCACCAAGCTACAGTAATGACTGAAACTTTTCCCACAAATAGGACATTTGAAAAGTTTCTCTCCTGTGTGAGTCATCTGGTGTCTCGCGAGGTGGACATTTTTAATGAAACATTTCCCACAATCGGGACATTCAAAGGGTTTCTCTCCTGTGTGAGTCCTCTGGTGTTTCACCAGGTTGCAATTTTGACTAAAACATTTCCCACAAACAAGACATTCAAAGGGTTTCTCTCCCGTGTGAGTCCTCTGGTGCATCAGCAGGCTGCAGTAATGACTGAAACTTTTCCCACAAACAGGACATTCAAATGGCTTCTCTCCTGAGTGAGTCCTCTGGTGCATCACCAGGCTAGAATTCACACCAAAACGTTTCCCACAATCAATACATTCAAAGGGTTTCTCTCCTGAGTGAGTCCTCTGGTGTTTCACCAGGTTGCAATTCTGACTAAAAGATTTCCCACAAACAAGACATTCAAAGGGTTTCTCTCCTTTGTGAGTCCTCTGGTGTCTCACGAGGTGGACATTTTTAATGAAACTTTTCCCACAATCGGGACATTCAAAGGGTTTCTCTCCTGTGTGAGTCCTCTGGTGTCTTACCAGGTGGGAATTCTGACTGAAACATTTCCCACAATCAGTACATTCAAAGGGTTTCTCTCCTGAGTGAGTCCTCTTGTGTTTCACCAGGTTGCAATTCTGACTAAAACATTTCCCACAANACCTACTATATCTAACTGGAAAACAATTTGGAAAATGGATCGACCAAGAGATTTTATGATTTGGGGGAATAAGACACAATTGTTGTCTTATTGTTCTGAATTGAAATCTTACGAAAAAGTTTTGTTAATAAGAATCAAACAGATATATATTTCCCCCCACTAATATTGCTCCAATACATTTATGAGTATTTTATTGGGGGGGGGGATAATATAGCTAAATCTGCTTTTGTCTTTTTAATGCACATTTTTCTTTTTAAATGTTTTGCCTATCCTTGCTTTGTTTTTGAAAAAAATCTTTCTTTTTTTGGAGTTTGTACTTTATATTAATTTTCTGAATAGAATGTTTTTTCTAAAAAAAAAAGGTCTCCTTACCAGAAGCAAATTCATGAGGCTGCTCTGTACCTATTATCTAAATTAATAGAATCATAGCATCATGGGGTTGGTTGTATTGTACAGCAGCAGTGTAAAGTGATTGTATATTTCTTATTGTATTGATACTATTCCTGTTGCTGCAGCCTATGATTGCATTGGCTTTTTTTGGCAGCTTCAGCACAATACTCTTACGAGTGATACTTTTCCAATTATCATGTGCCACAGGGATACATGGCCTTCCTTTTAAGAGTTCTGTGGGAGGCAGCCACCCACAATTTCTTAACAGAGTTTGCAAAATGTTAAGTCAGCAAAACAGAATGGTTTGTCCCACTCCCACATGACAGTTACTCAGAATCAGTCACCATTTTGACATAGAGGTAGGTATGCTAAAAGGGCAGTTTCTTACACTAGTCCACCACATGGCCCAGGGATGAATCCTAGGCACAGACCCAAAAGTTGGGGCAGGGGAGGCTAGGCCTCCAAGTGAGCCCTGAGTCCCCCAGCCCTGAGATAGTTACTGTTCTGCTTAACGATGTGCAGATTTATTGAACTGCTTCATTAGAAGAGCAGGAAACAGGAGTAGTTAAGCAAGGTAATCTTGCTTAACAACCATTGTAACATGCAACTGTAATTGGTGGGCCCCATTAGCAATAGCTTAAGCATTTAGACATATACTGCTGTACAGCCCTCTCTAAGCGGTTTATAGAGTCAGTATCTTGCCCCCAACACTTTGGGTCCTCATTTTACCACCTTGGAAGGATGGAAGGCTGAGTCAACCTTCAGCCTGGTAAGATTCAAACTGCCAAATTGCAAGTAGCTGGCAGTCACCAGTAGTAGTTTGCAGTACTACACTCTAACCATTACACCACCATGGCACATTACAGTTGTATCTTGAGAAATACTTCTATGGTTCCTGGGGTATTATGGGGCTAAAATTCTGGAGGACACCAAAGTAGAAGAAGGAACTCAATGATCAATATACAAAAAGCATCACCCAAAAGCCTTTTTGAGGAATTCCACAACTTCTGCAAAGGAAATATCCAGAAATTGCTGCTGATAATCAGAAACAAGTAGTTAGACTTTACCAGACTAAGATATTTTTCTATCCACCTACAAGTATTTCTTTAAAAAGCATCAGGCAAGAATTTAAATAGTACATTCCTGACCTACACTCCTAATGAGAGTTCAGAAATGAAATTCAAGCCTTTTCTAAACTCATCAACTTTTGACTCAAGTGGATTTC